ATTTTTGAAGTAATTTTTTATATATGCTTCAAGAAATGGATTGATGTTCTTTTTTTTTCCCCCCCCATTTGGTGACCAAATAATTCCAGAGCCATTTATTGAGAAGACTATCATTTCTGAATTGTTTTATTCAAGGATTTTGCCTAATGATTAAAATGACCAGTATTTTCATATCTCACACTCTCTTTGTCATGTTTTGGTAACAAGTCATTCTAGTTTCATAAATAAATCTACAACTATTTCCTATTTTTCTATTCTTTGGAACATTTCATATAAGGTTGGGACTACTTTTCTTCTTTGAATGCTTGATACCAGAATATTTGGTATCCACAAAAGCCATCTGGGCCTGAAATTTTTTTGTGGAAAAATCTGGGCTGTTAATTTAAGTTCTTAGGTGTGGCAAAATATGTTTTCCTAAGAATCTGTCCTTATCTTCTATATTATCAAATCCATTGCTATATATATAAATGTTTATAATATCCTCTGATTATTTTTTAATGTCTGCAGCATCCGTAATGATGTCCCTTTCATATTCCTGATAGTAACTGTTTGTACTTTCTCTTTTTCTCAGTTAATCTCAACTAAGCAATATTTGTAATTCTTATTAATCACATATATATCAGTCATTATCTCTTCAGATATTACCTTTGCCTATTTTCTCTCTCCTCTACTTTCTGGATTCTGATTAAATGTATGTTAATCATGTCTCCCCATAATTTATGTCAATACCTTTTCCTTCGTACTTTCTTTTTGTCTCTATTTCATTTTTAAAATATTTTGTCTAATTTATCTTCTAGTTCACCAATTCCCCTTTCAGCTGTGTTTGCTCTGTTGTTAAAACCATCAGGTTTTTAATTTTGGTTCTAGCAATTTCATCTCGACCTTTTTCAAATCTGCTATGTAATTTTTTCCTACAGATATTTCAAATTTATCTTTTATTTATTAAGAAGTAAGCATAGTTATTTTATTACCTATTTGATAATCTTCTAAATTCAAATATTAAATATTTATGGCTCTATTTCTGTTATCTCTTGTTTCTTTTGGTTCTTGCTCACATTGTCTTCTTTCTCTAAGTGCCTGTGTAAGTTGAACTATATATGTGCTGGGAATAGTACTTGAAAACCTATTTATAGGGGGTCGCCTGGGTGGCTCAGTTGGTTAAGCATCTGCCTTTGGCTCAGATCATGATTCCAGGGTCCTGGGATCGAGCCCGGCGTCTGGCTCCCTGCTCAGCAGAGAGCCTGCTTCTCCCTCTCCCTATGCTGTTCCCCGTGCTTGTGCTCTCTCTCTCTCCTTCTCACAAATAAATAAAATCTCTAAAAAGAAAGAAAGAAAAAAACCTATTTCTAAGAATAATTTGAAACCTAATAGAAATATACCTTCTTACAAAGAGGTCTGTGTTTCCGCTAGACATCTAGGGAAACTTATCAGTCTGAAATCATCTTAATATAAGTTCAAAGTTTGATGTTTCCACGAGAGGACTTGTCTACTTCACGTACATTCTTACGCTCAGCATATAGCTCTTTTGTGTCTCACTCTGGTGCCAGGAAGAACTCCTATTTAACTTCCCACTTAGTGCCATCACTGGGCTATTGATGTGCTCTTCCCTCAGTAAGGACATCAAAATACAAGTCCTAGTTCTCAGGACTGGCCAATACTCACCAAGCAAGAACACCTTCTAATGATCATTTACCTTTCTCAGTTCTTCCTTCGTTCTTAATTTTGGCCTTCTTATTCTCTTTTCAGTATTTGCTTTTAAGAAAGGCTTCTAGGGGTCCTGGGTGGCTCAGTCATCAAGCGTCTGCCTTTGGCTCAGGTCGTGATTCCAGAGTCCTGGGATGGAGCCCTGCATCAGGCTCCCTGCTCAGCGGGAAGCCTGCTTCTCCCTCTCCCACTCCCCCTGCTTGTGTTCCCTCTCTCACTGTCTCTCTCTCTCTCTCTCTGTGTCAAATAAATAAATAAAATCTTTTTTTTAAAGAAAAGTTTCTAGATTTTTCTCCCAGAATTTTTAGTAGTTTTCTGTAAGAGAATTGGTCAATTACCAGAATCCAGAGCTCTATTCCTTTCTTCCTGAGTCATTTTTGCTGTTATTATTTAGGGAAATTGCTCATTTCTTCAAAATGTCCGAACTTATTGGCATAAGGTTGCTCGTAGTGTTCTCTTTTTATCTTTTTGGTCTTTATCTGAGGCTAAGATTCCGTTTTTCATTTCTAATTGTTTTTATTTTTTTTCATTTTTTCTTTTAAGATTTATTTTGACAGAGTGAGAGACAGCGAGAGAGGGAACACAAGCAGGGGGAGTGGGAGAGGGAGAGGCAGGCTTCCCACTGAGCAGGGAGCCCAATGCGGCGCTGGATCCCAGGATCCTGGGATCATGACCTGAGCCAAAGGCAGATGCTTAACCACTGAGCCACCCTGGCTCCCTCTAATTGTTTTTATTTAAGCTTATCTCTTGTTTTCCTTGGTCAGACTCATACAAGGGTTGTCTACTCTATTATCCTTTTTAAAAAATCAGTAGAATCCTCTGTATTTTCTTTGTGTTTTCTATTTCATTAATTTCTGTCTTTATCATGTGTTTTTTCTATTTTCTTGGACTTCCTTCTGCTTTTCTTTCTCTAACTTCTTAAGTTGATATTTAGCTCATGAATTTTCAGGCTTTCTTCTTTAAAGCAAATAAAAATCATATTAATTATATTAATCTCTACTAATTTTTATCTGCTTTACCTATTAATAACTCAGAGATTTATTGGCATATCTACTCTGATATAAATTAGTCAAATTTTAAACTTTTATCTACTAATTTTTACTTTTATTTTGCTGATATTAATACAGCTACTAGTTTTTTATGATTAGCATTTTCCTGGAATTTTTTTAATTTAAATTCAATTAGCCAACATATAGTACATCATTAGTTTCCGATATAAAGTTCAGTAATTCGTCACTTGTGTATAACACCTAGTGCTCATCACATCACGTACGCTCCTTAATGCCCATCACCCATATACCCCATCCCCCCACCCTCTGGAATCTTTTTCATTTTTAATTTTCATAATTTTTACTCTTTAAATATAAAACATCTTTGGAGATCTTATATTTTCTTTTTGTTTATTTATTTATTTATTTATTTATTTTTAAAGATTTTATTTATTTGACAGAGAGAGACACAGCAAGAGAGGGAACACAAGCAGGGGGAGTGGGAGAGGGAGAAACAGGCTTCCCGCCGAGCAGGGAACCCGATGGGGGACTTGATCCCAGGACCTGGGATCATGACCTGAGCCGAAGGCAGATGCTTACGACTGAGCCACCCAGGTGCCCCTCTTTTTATTTTTTTTTAATCCACTGGAACAATCTCTGTTTTTGAACTCAACATATTTATACACAGAATATATTTCTATTTTTAATCTACTGTTATATTTTTCTGGCATATTTTACATGTGAGTTTAACCTATTTACATGTGTTATGGTTAGTAGAAATTTATAACTTATTTCCACTACCTTTATGCTTTCTTTTTGTTTCACTTTTTCTTTTTTAAGATTTTATTTTTTTATTTGAGAGAGAGAGTATGTGAGAGAACGAGCACAAGCAGGGGGAGCTGCAGAGGGAGCCCAATGCTGGGCCCCATCTTAGGACCCTGAGATCATGACCTGAGCCGAAAGCAGAAGCTTAAGGGACAGAGCCCACCAGGCTCCCCTGTTCCACTTTTTCTATGTCTTTTTTCTCTCTTAACTTTCTTTATACTTGTTTAATTGTTTATTTGTTTTATTATTTAATTTTTGTCTTCTAGATGAGAATTTATACACTCTATTTTTTATTCTCTTTATAAAATAGTAGTCTTTTATTAATCTTATGTAACAACCCAACAAGATCTAAAATCGGTCATCCTGTAACTTTTTTCAAACAATACAAATCTAAGGATATTTTCCCCACATCAACCTCCACCCTGCTCCCCCCAAGTTAATGAGTTGTTAAGTGTGCAGGATAAAATTTCCAGAGTAAAAATTAAGTACATAACTTTCCCACTACGAGAGGGCGAGATGCATTTTCTAACTAATTTTATGTATTTCAAAAAAACGCTATTTATCTTAGTTGTGATTTGAATTATGGATTAAATGACCAAATGAACTTTTTTTTCAAGTAGGTGGCCTAAAAATACAAACATCTCTAGCTTTTCAAGATTCAATTATATTAATAGAAGAAATATAAACATAAAATGTAATCCATAGCAGCACAAAAAATGACTCTGAGGTGCCACCAGAATACCAGAACAGAGGAGAGTTTCTGAATCATATAAAGTAGATGTCACACGATAGTGTTAAATCTGAGGTGGGGGATGAGATGGCAGGAGGGGGGAACAGAGGAAAGTCCATTTGTGTGTGTGTATGTTTGTGTTGTCTGAATTTCTACAAAGGAAATGTATTTGTGTGTTATTTGTGTAGAAAAAAAAGGTTACATAGTCATTTATAAATAAACTATATGGATAGAGATTTGATGATAAAAACCTAACAGAGCTGAGGATCTTTGAAACTCACACATTTGACAAATGTCATAAGAACTCCTCCAAAAGGGGGCTAAAATTGGAGACAGTAGAGCTCTTTAATCCATTGGAATGTATTTTTGTTATGAAATAAAGATCTGACTGTATATATACCTTTTTCAGTGGATAGCCAACTGTCTTCCATTTATTGGCCGATTACCCTTTTTCAACAGAATTGAAATGCACCTTTATCATTTAATAGGCTCCTTTAAATACATGGATCTCTGTTTTCTGTTCTTTTCCACTCATTTTCTGTCCATCCTTGCCCCAGTTCTATACTATATTAATTATTGTTGCTTTTTAATGTGTTTTTAGATCTGTCAGTTTAATATATATATATATGTATATATATATATATATATGTCATGCTCTTGTATTTTCTTTTTCAGATGAAATTTAGAATTTGATGAATTTTATTAAAAATTATCATTAGCTATTGATAGGGATATATTACATTTATACATACATATGAGGAGGATCGACTTCTTTAAACTGTTGAGTCTTTCCATCTTATTTCTTCCATCTTCTGTCTCTGCTTCTCTTCCTATGTCAGCTTTGTTAACTGCTAGCGAACATTGTCTTCCTTTTTACAGAAGAGGATATGTGAGTCCATTGCCCTCAGTCCACACCTTCCCAGTCATACTACTAGAAAGGGAAAGTGTTCTTTTTCCCAGCTGCACCTCAGTAAATCCTGAAGTAGGACACTCTTTGGCCTGGCTTGGTCACATACCCTTTCTTTACCTCACCAATCACAGGAGCCAGGAAAGTGGGGTAGTGAGTCCAATCAGGAGAGGTAAACTGTGCAGTATTTTGAGCAGAGACAGTATAATATAAAGAATTTTTAACTATAACAGGAAATTGGAGTATTAAGGGGTTAGCTAGCGTGAAACAAAGAAAACTGGAAAGAATACAGAAACCGCGTATTTAAAAAGCAGGCACTACTCCTGGGGCTGAGATCGAGTGCCAAGGAACAGCCTTGTGCACACACCGCCCCACCCGCCCCGATGCCGCTGAGCTCCAGACCTTGGTGGAGAGGGCATGGCCATGACTCACTGAAATTTACTATGATGCTTCGCAGACAGAATTCACAGGAAATCCCCCCCTCTAACTCTGGGGATAGCAGGTCACAGGGAGATATCTCACTGGAGGGGCTCTCCTACAAAGGCTCATGCTAGGGAGCAGGTTTTGGGGGTGAGCTGCAGGAGGGGAAGCTACATGTGTTGTTGGAGGCAGACACTAGAGAAGCTGCTGACACTGTAGGAACCCACATGCACAAACAGGAGACCGCCTGACTGCGGAGCTTCCAGAGGCACCTCTCTACAACAAAACGATGCTGTATTTCTATGTAATTATAGACACTGCTATCCTTAGAAGTGAAATTCTCATCTTTTCCCCAAATGAGGAGAAACAGAGTCTTCCAGACTCATTGTATCCATTGCTGGCTATATTAATCCTCAAATTCAGTCACAGTGCCACTGAATATTCTGTTACTTAAAGACAATTTTGTAGGGGTGCCTGGGTGGCTCAGTTGATTAAGTAAGTGTCTGCCTTCCGCTTAGGTCATGATCCCAGGGTCCTGGGATTGAGCCCCGCCTCAGGCTCCCTGCTTAGCGGGGAGCCTGCTTTTCCCTCTGCCCATCCCCCTGCTTGTGCCTTCTCTCTTCCCCCCCCCCCCCCTCAAATAAATAAAAAAAAACTTTAAAAAAAATAAAAAGAACAATTGTAAAGTTAACTTCTATAGTGAGTTGCATTGTGGCCTCAGAAGATATGTCTAAGTTCTGGTGCCCAGTACCTGTGAATGTGCCCTTGTTTGGAAATAAGGTCTTTGCAGAGGTAATTAAATTAAGGATCTTGAGATGAGGTCATCCTGGATTTATAGTGGGCCCTAAATCCAACGCCTGGTATCCTTATGAGAGAGAAGAGGGGAATTTGAGACCCAGACACACACAGAGAAGACAATATGAAGATGGAAGCAGAGATTGGAGTGATGCATTCACAGGCCAATGAATGCCAAGTGTTACCAGGATGCCACCAGAAACTAGGAGAAAGACATGGAACACATTCTCCCTTAGAGCCTCCAAAAGAAATCAACACCGCCAACACCTTGGGGTGCCTGGGTGGCTCAGTTGGTTAAGCGACTGCCTTCAGCTCAGGTCATGATCCTGGAGTCCCAGGATCGAGTCCCGCATCGGGCTCCCTGCTCAGCAGGGAGTCTGCTTCTCCCTCTGACCCTCCCCCCTCTCATGTTCTCTCTCTCTCTATCTCATCCTTGATTTAACAGAACCAGTGATGCATCTCATGAAAGAAGCATTCTCCCCTTGGGGACTAAATTCTCTACACCAGCAGCAAAGTTTCCAGATAAGGGAAGAAAAATTCTGAGTGGTTTATTAGGTGAAATTGTGAGAAGAGCCAGTCCTACTGCCATACCTTGATTCAAATTTCTTCTGGCTATGGAAGAGAAGGTACCACGTAATGGTCTCCGATTCAAAATATATCCTGAAAGACAGAATGTCATTTTTCCAGGGTGTTGCCTCCCAAGAAGGCTACAGCTGAGTCTTCAGTAAGTCATTTCACTGTTCAGTTAAGCCAGCTGCTTCCAAGTGTTGGTCGATGTGGTAAGATCTGTTAATTTCATAGACATGGCCCCATTGCTGCACTTCCTTTGCTGTGAAATGAATTCCCTGATTAGATGCAGTGTTGTGTGGGATGCACTGCGGGCAGATAAACCATTTGGTGAGTTCACAGATAGTGGTGCTGGCAGAAACATTAAGGGAGTAAAGGCAAATCCATTTTTCAGAATATGTGATTATTCCAATAAGGATGAATCTTTGCCCCCTCAGTGATGGAAGAGGTCCAGTATAATCAATTTACCATGAGACAGCTGGGTCATACCCTGGGAAAGGGGGCCATATCAAGAACTCAATGTTGTTTCCTGCTTTTGGTAAATTAGGCACTTAACAGTAGTGCCAAGATGAGCCTTGGTTAAGGAGACGTCCAGATTGTTGAGCACATGCATAGCCTGCATCCTTACTAGGATGGCCATTTTGTTCAAGGGCCCATTGAGCAAGCCTGGATGGCTGGGTAAGAGGCTGGCTGACATCCACAGATAGTGCCATTTTGTCCACCTGATTATTAGCAGTCTCCTCTGTAATGGATACCTTTAGTGTGCATCGAAATGGGACACAGATATCGTCACAGTTTGTGCCCATTTAGAGAAATTCATCTATATATCTCTTCCCCACACGTCCTTGTCACCAATCTTCCAATCTTATTCCTTACAAATCCCTGTATGTCTAGAAAAACCATTAGCAATTGCCCATTCTGGTCACCCCTCACTCTAGACATGGTATACAAACAAATATACTGTTCTAATTATGCCCCCTTGGAAGATTTTCCTTTATCACTGACTGTCCTTCAGACCCCTGAGTGGCCATAGGGGAGCCACCTGTGCTGTAGGAAGTAGATTCTAGGGAAGCCTTCCATGCTTCCAGAGCCTGTCAGGAGGTACACTGGAAGCAGGAAGCAAAGCCCTTTCCTACTTCAATGTCTCTCCCTCCTTTTCTACTGATAAAACTTAACATTCTGATAGCTAGCAAACAAGAATATTTAAAGGATTAAGATCCATCTTCACAGAGCAGACATAAAGTGAATTTGGAACTGGGAGTGATAACTCAATTTCAATACAGTTGCCCCAGCTTAGCTCAGAAGCCTACCTCTCTGCCAATCATTATCACTACTGCAACTCCCATTTGGATGCACATGGGATTGGAGGAAGGTAAAGAGGAAACATATTTCCCCAAATAAGAGGTAAGAGTGCTCTTCCTAAAGGAAGAGAGGTGTTCTGGGCTGACAAAACGATAAATGTTTCCTACATGATATCCTTTGACTATTCAGTGCACGTATGTGTACACACACACACACTGGTTTTTACATATCTATAGTTTCTCTCTTTTTTTAAAAGATTTTATTTATTTATTTGACAGAGAGATAGAGAGTACAAGTAGGCAGAGAGGCAGACAGAGGGAGAAGGAGAAGCAGGCTCCCCGCCGAGCAGGGAGCCTGACATGGGGCTCGATTCCAGGACACTGGGATCATGACCCAAGCCGAAGGCAGACGCTTAACTGACTGAGCCACCCAGGCGTCCCTCTATAGTTTCTCTTAACATAAAGCAACTATACCTTATGCAGTTGAAAATGTGCTTGATCCCTATGCAGTGGGAGGCGAAAACTCAAAGTCACATCTAGCCCAAATTCAGGATCTTTGAGTGTAGTCAATCTTGATAAGGTCCTGATCTAGCTAAATGATAAATAATGTATTTTCCCCCAATGCACAAATATATAATAAAGGAGGTGGGGAACAGGATAACAAAAACTAATGAGAAATGGCAAAAAGGAGACTCACTGTGCAATGGTTGAGCATCTACCGTATCCTGTTGGACAAGAGGTACTTCTGAAACAAATAATGCAATATATGTTAAGGAAAAAGAAAAAGAAGAAGATAGCAGGAGGGGAAGAATGAAGGGGGGTAAATCGGAGGCAGAGACGAACCATGAGAGAAGATGGACTCTGAAAAACAAACTGAGGGTTCTAGAGGGGAGGGGGGTGGGGGATGTGTTAGCCTGGTGATGGCTATTAAAGAGGGCACATTCTGCGTGGAGCACTGGGTGTTATGCACAAACAATGAATCATGGAACACTACATCAAAAACTAATGATGTAATGTATGGTGATTAACATAACAATAAAAATTTAAAGAAAAAAAAAAAAGAATAAGGGTAAGAAGGCATCTCTTCTCCAGCAGAGAATTGAGATCTTTGGTCAGCCACTCAAAGTGTCAAGATTTCCTTTATCTATTATCCTCAAAGACCCTGCCTTAGAGAAGTAGTGAGAAGGAATTTCCTGGGACCGCTCTGGTAACTGAATTCATCTTTCTGCTGATACCGAGACTGGGATGTTGTCTTTGACAAGCACACCAGTAGAGGCCTTTTGCAAGGACAAAGGCTTTCTGGCAATCCCTTAAAATTTACTTGGCTGTCAGTCAATGTCATTTGGGGGGAAATCCATTAGGTTGTTATCAGAAATCTCATTGAGACAGTAAGCTTTGAATAGGGACTTTGCCCTTCTTGTTTCTATCTCTTGGAAACTGGCCTAGCAACTCTGCCAATCACCTTGGATCTTAGTTCATTGTCTTTGCCACAGACTCTATCCCATGATAGGGAGAGAAACAGGCTGGGATTGTAAAGCCAGGTTACAGCTTTAGACTCTGTCCCCTAACTTATGCACCATTCAACTGGTATAATGGGAGAAATTATCTTTTTCAATTGGTAAGGGGCCACAGGAGAAGATATTTGAGAAGAGTCCTGAGTAATGAGACATCCCTGACTCCATTGCTCTGCTGGGTCTCTGCATTTCTGGTTAGTGTATGAACCTTATGGGGGGCAGAAAATGTAGTTGTTTCAGTTGACAGACTAGATATTATCTGATCATGATCAATATAGGATAACTAAACCAGGAAGCAGAAAGGACTCCTCTTAACAGCTATATAAGTACCACCCTACCATTGCCCGTCTCTTTCAGAATGGCTCTACTGAACCAGTTTGTCTCTCTCATAGCACTAAGGGAGCAGTAAGCAACAATATATTCCAATAGCTTGATTTTTTTTTAACCAAGTTCATAAAGCTAGAAGCCTTAGTAGGCATAGCTATCTATTGTGAAGAATCGCTGTTTGTTTTTAGTTAGCAACCCGATGCAGGCAAATGCTTTCATAAATATAAAACTGCATGCTTGGATACCATATTAATGTCAAATTACTAGAAGTTTTGAAATGCTCCTCTCAATTTCTATACTTATTTCATTGCTGATTTCACTGCAGTTTGCAAACTGGCTTTGGTCCATACACCACATTCTAAGTAGTACTGATCTAACAGATAAATCTCACTATTTTCCCAGCCTCAGTATCAATTTCTGTGTAAATGGAGAGTCTTGGTTTGGAACATATACTGTATATTCTAACCTTACCTAGCACCTGAATAATGAATAATATTATAATCTAACCTGGCACCTAAATAATGGAGCACATTCTAAGACCAAGGAAGCCCACAGACTTTATCTCATTGTCTTACTTCTTTCATCATGAAGTGAATTCCTTGGGCAGAGGAATGGTGTATGGGCTAATGTGATAGTGTATAGACATTCAATAGGTCTATGGAGAATGATGCTTGCAGAAAAATCAAAATCCATTTCCAGAATGTGGAACTGTTGTACTGAGACAAATTGTTGACAAAAATCGTATGACAAAAGGGATTCCAAAACGATTGACATGCTTTATACCAAGTATCTTGCTAGTCCGCTGAAAGAAAGTTGCCTCATAAAGACCTTCAAGTTGGTCACAAGTGCAGGAAAATTGACTTTTCAGCAGTGACACTAATCACTGGATTACGGCCTTTCCCTTGTTATTCCCTTGGTAAATCAGACCGTGTTATGCTACAGTTTAAAACACTTCACTTCTCCTAGCACTTGTAAGAAAATCCAATCTCCTTTCCATGTCTACAAGGCACGAGGTGTATAACGCCTTAGTCTCTCTCCAATTTCATCTCATGTCACTCTTTCCCTCGATTTGATCAGGATGCCCCATCCACTCTAATGCTCCAGCATAGCAAACTCTTAGCATCTTGTTCCCTCTGCCGGTAACACTATGAACATCCCTTCCACTTCCATCCCTTTCAGTTAACAGCTGATGTTACCTCCTAAAAGTCATCTCCCTACTAACATACAGACATCTTTCCAATCAAGCTTCTTGTTTATTTTCTTCACTTACACCTAACACAAGCTACAATTATTTAATATTATTTGAAAATGTTAGTACAGAAATTGAAACAAAATGGCAATTCCATAAATCTACAGGGCTTTTAAATGCTCAGATATTTTTCTGAACAGAGCGGGAAGCAAAAGATCAAGAGGCATTCTTGGAGACCCGATAAATAATAAAATACCCAAATGGTTGCATACTCCCAAATCCTCTGAAGTCAGCTTTCACCTTTTCTCCCTAAAGGACAGTGGCTTTATCATTTTTCATCCAGGAGTCACACCAATCAGAGGCCAGGTACCTATGATCCCGCCTTGTTGCCGTTTATTAAATCAGAGCTGCCCATTGGCCTCATCCAGGGTCAGAGGCTTCTGACTGCAGCAACTGAGCTCCGGAACAGAGGCCCGTGCCTGTCTGAGAGTAGGGCTCCGGGGGCGTCTCAAGGTTCTGCACTGCCTGGCGCTCCCCAGGCCGTTACTCGAGTCTCGCTCCTGCCGGTAGCGTCTCTCAGGCCACCCACCGAGGGCTCATCGGGCCCCAGAGCGGCCGTTCAAACTGGCGAGGGTGCGCCTCCCGGGGTCCCCGGATCATTCCAGGGCTATTTGAGCGCAGAGCCGTGGAAGGGTCTCAGGAAATTTAGCAAGTGAGCGCCCTCCTACGCCCGTTGGCCTGAACAGCCGCTCTGCCCCGCGCCCCAGCCCCAGCCTGCAGCAGCCCTCTTCCCCCGTCCATCCTTCCCGGATCTGGCTACACTGCGAAAAAGCCACTGAAGTGCTTGGGCTCCAAGGCGGAGCCCTGACCACAAACCCAAGTTGAGTAAGGAATAGCGAAGGGAGAGGCGACAGAAGTATGACCTAAGCTCCCTGCCCTATCTTTCTGTCTATCCATCTATCCATCCATCCATCCATCCATCCATCCGCTATCATCCCCTGTCGCTGTATTTTAGGACTAGAATTAGAATTCCTTAATGAAAGCTTCATCGCGTCGTAAAATAACGCGTTTAACTGAAAAAACGAAAGAGGACTTTTTCAGACAGAAAAATGTCTTAGAAAATAAATTTAGTTGTTGAGAACTAGTTGTGCTAATTATATTAAACAGTGGACCTTTAAGTTGAATGAGCTAACGAGAAGGTTCTATGGTTTCGACAAAAAAATTTAAAGTCCTTTTATAGTATACCGTATGCCAGGAATTACGTACTTAAGTTTAGATATCAGCTAAAAATGTATAAAGGTCACGCAGTTTTTTTCGAAATCTTTTTATACGGTCCTCAAGCAAAAAATGTCCAGCCCAATAGCAGTCCCTGCCCCCAATACCCGGACATCACCAAGCCCAGGAGCGGGAGGGGCCCGCCTCGGGGGACGAGGAAGGAGGAAGGGAAAGTGGGGAAAGGGGCGGGGGGAAAGTGACGGGAGCAGTGAGAGCCGGAAATGACTGGCTAGCGAGGAACCCAGGGGCACCCTGTCCGGCGGCGCTCTAGCCTCCGCGCTCTGTCTCTATGCTCCCCCCGCGCCTGGTCTATTTATTGTCGCGGGGAAGAAGCGGCCGCCCAGTACCCGGAACAACAAAGCACGAAAGACGGAGCCCGAGCCTCGGGGGCTCCTAGCAACCGGCCGGGGCGGGAGTTCCATGGAGACTGGGGAGCGCGCCCGCCTCATCATCATCCTTGTCCTCCAGCTTATCCTTCGCGTCCGACGTAACCGGCAGCAGCGCTGCCGCCGCGTTCTCTGCCGCCGCCCCCTCTTCCCACGGTAACCCCGTAGGCGACCCTGGGCTTGGGGGAGCGCGGGCGACTGGGCGGCCTGAGTGCCGGGGGTGGTGTGTGAGAGCGGGGCCGTGCTGCGGGTGGGAGGTGCGGGGGCGGACGACCCGAGGAGAGGAACTAAGGTGGGGGCAACTGGTCCGGGGGCCGAGGGAGGCTCCACTTCTTAGGAGGACAGGGTGATATTTGGGGAGCTCATCAGGGATAACGGCGTGGGGGCGGGGCGTCCCTGCCTGCGAGCGTTATCGAGCAGGGTGTAGCATAAGAAAAGAGGTATTTTATTTTTCGTGTTAGCCATCCCTAGGAAAGACAGGAGAAGGGTGCTTCCCCATCTGTCTCTGTGAAGCTCTCACCCAGAGAAAGAAGGATCCTGCAAAGATGCTAGGGGTCCATTGCTTACCAGAAAACTTCCAGCGGCCTCTGCCGCGGCGGGAAGGCTCCCAAATAGCACCTTCGCGGTTCCTGGTGCTGGTAATGCCAACAGCCCTGCTTTATTATTATTATTGCTGTTAACCAAATTAGGTTTGATGAAGAGTCTGGAACTAAGGAAGATAAAATGAATTGTGGGTAGGGCTAAGCAAGGATGAGAATTGGGATAAGCGCTTAATGATAGCCAGTAAGAACCCTAAAAGTAAATTTAATTGGGAATGACGGTTTTTAAGACCCCTTCTGCAGAGATGTGCATCTGCAGGCTCTGTCAGTGTGCTCATTGCAATAAGACTCACACTGCAGCCAGTCCACATCTGTGAGCTCTCTGGCTGCATCTGTCACCTGCAGTTCCAGAGCGACACTGGCAGTTAACCATCGTGGGCTTCTGTATTTAGGGTTAAGAACAGTGCCTTAAAATTGGCTCAAGGAAAAAAAAAAAGAGGAAACAGGCTTGGTTTGATTTTTGTGTGAAAAACCAATTACAGAATCCCTGAGAAAATTGAAAAAGATAAATATAAGGAAAAGATTTAGCTATTGGAGCATAATCTGTCAAAGTTTCAGAAAATGGCAGTTCATTCGAATGGAGAAGGGACTTTTATCGCTATCAGTTCTGAAGAATTATTCACAGCCTGATAGTCCAGTTACATATTTATCAGCTTATATTACCTCTTTATGCTTTACATCACTATTTAATGGTTTTATGCTTTCCCAAATCATTCCAGGTCAGTAAATGAGGTTTCCCTGTGGCATACTGAAAAGGCTACATATACCTACTAGAGAATATCATTTTTGTGTCCAGTGAAAATAAAGCTCTTTATATAAAATCGAGGATTAAAGATGAAAATAAAACTGATAAGTCACAGAGGCAATTATGTCAACCACAGCCTCTGTTTGTCTCCCGCTTTGTTGTTGTTGTTGTTGTTGTTAAGCCTGGCTTGTCTTAAAACGAAATGTGTCATTCTTATCCCCAGCCCCCTCTCTTCATGCTCTCTGCCATCAAAATCAGAAACTGTAATGGTCTAAGTGCTACTAAGTGCTCTTGATTGGTTGACTGGTGCCAGAATAGAGTTTTTAGCTCAGGCATTTTCATGGAATTGAGATGAATTGAGGTTCAGTGTCTCTTGTTAAAGGAAGTTCATGGATGTGCAAAGAGGTGGGCAGTTTCTTTTAATGGGAAGTATATACATTGGGAGACTTAAAATAGCATTTTAGGACTCCTCAGAGGAAAAACACAGTATTGTCACCTTTAGGTGAATGAATCAAGGACTGTTGTTTAATCTTTTCGTAAAGCTGTTCTTCTGTGAAGGATATCCTGGAGGATGACCACACTTGAGGCTGTTGGATGTTGAGTCCCGAGATTTTCATAGTGCCTATGAGACTTAGTGAATTTCCTCAATCTCAGGGTTGCCATCATACTCACTTCACCTAGACCTATTTGTGTTTACCTCTATCCCTTCCGTGTTAGAGTGGGTGTTAGGCCCTAGCTTCCACCTTTAGTAACAGTCCCAATTTTTGCGTTCCCTGCTCTCTACGACACCATTCCCAGTGTTGGGTGGTGTTTTAGTTCTTCTCCTTATTTAATCATGTCAAAATGATTTTTTGTGCTATTTGTATTATTTGTTTCTTATGGAGTTTTCAACATATGTGGTTGGCCTATATATCTTTTTCATTAATCTTACTTTGTTGTATTTTCCTTCTGTATCCCTCCCCTTTATTTGGAGAATTGGAATGGTCATGTCACATGTCTGTGTTCATTCTATTTGTGCAATACAACAGGTTAGGAGCCTCATGCTGAGAGACTCAAAAGACTGTATTGAAGTAAGGCATGTACAAAATATTGTAATTTTTCAGAATTAAAGGTGTTTTAGAAGTTCAAGTGGTAGTATTATAACTGTAGACATAGTCACTTTTTTAAAGGTAAGAGTATTGTAGATTTTACTGTGTGCTTTTATCTGAACCTAAGATTTTCATAATTCTTATTCTAAAACACTTTTCTTAACATTAGTCTTTTCTGATTATTTTTGGATCTGAATATTTGACTGAAATTACATTTTGCCAAATTTGAGGGAACAGTTGAAGTTATTTCCACAAATTTTTCTTTATGTGGAAAATTTTTGTCTCGAAATTTTTGTGGATGTATGGTGGTTCCCTGTTTATCTGTGGTTTTGCTTCCCATGGTTTCAGTTACCCTTGGTGAACCATGGTCTGGAAGCAAATGATCCTCAGAATGTTAATAGTAGCTTAACACTAGGTCATAGGGCCTACATCGTTCATCTCACTTCATCTCAACACACAGACATTTTATCATCTCACATTATCACAAAAAGAAGGGTGAGTACAGTACATGAAGATATTTTGAGAGAGAGAAACCACATTCACGTTAACTTTTATTGCAGTATATTATAATTGTTCTATTTTTGTTGTTAATCTCTTATTGTGCCTAATTTATAAATTAAACTTTGTCATAAGTATGTATGTATGGGGAAAACGTACTATGTATAGGGTTTGGTATTACATAGCTTTGGCATCCACTGGGGGTCTTGAAACATATCCCCCATAGATGAAGGGGACCTACTATATACATATATAGAATGTGCAGAATTTGCTGTAAAGTAGAACAAATACATGTGCAATATGCAACTGAATATTTTTAGAGTGTTATTTCTTATGGATGTGGCACATCATTTAAAATAAATATTGTATAATATAGTTGAGTGGGTGTCAGTGTTGTTTTTAGGTGAAGGATGTCTGTAATAATCTGGTGATTGATTTCCTTCTGTTGCATCATCGACCATGTGATGAAATTACTATTGCTTTGAAAAATAAAATTTAAATTGACTTTAGAAGAATTTATAGTAGAGTATTTCCACAGTGTCTCTAACCGAAAACCTGTAGTGCTTTGAAAATATAGCTATGTTGTGACATTTAAATTAAAAAACAAGGATTTCCTGAAATTTATATTCATATTTGTTGCACCTTTTATATGCCTGATGCCACGTCAGGTATGTACAGCTGGATGAAAGGTGTTTCTTTTCAGGTGCTTTTTGTGCACTTGTAGATAGCAGAGAAATGCCGTACACGAATACCAAAACATGACACACAAATGTGAATTTTATCTTTTTTTAATTTTATTTTATTATGTTATATTAGTCAACATACATTACATCACAAATATGAATTTTAAATCCTTTGTTACTTTGGTGCTGTTGGTGTACAGATTTCATCATGCCC